TCTTTATCTCCTCCCCCCTCACCTGTGTCTTGTTGGGTTAATAAGTGTGTGTGTATTTAAGCTCTGTTTTCCCTGTCAGTGGACAGGTAGTGTGGGTGAGATCCTTGTGGCTGGTGACTGTTCACCTGGGCAGCAATATTGAGGCTGTGTCATGTACCACAGCGATGAATAAATGCCCACACCGGGTTATATTTTAATTCTCTGCCTCTGCCTCCTTGCTTGGTCGGGCCGCTCAACGGTCAGCTTCACATTGCTGTTTGTTACGCTTTTGTAAAGAGATTTCCCTGCTAGGCTTCAGTGGCGTTTCCCCTTGGGTTGCATCTGTTTGTTTTTTTCAGTGTTGTGGCGACGTGGTTAGTGTCAGCTGTTTTCGGACAGCTGTCTCGGGGCACATCCGCATGATTTCTTGGTGTTACCTGCGTACAGGTCGCTCCATAACTCCGCCGGGTTCCAGTCCGTAATTACCCGCCGCAAGCCACATGAAGACTAGGTGAGATTAGTAAGATTTTGGTTAGGCAGTTGGGGGGGAAACTCTCTGTTGGGTTTGTCTTTTGCCCATGCGTGTTGGCAGGTTAATACTTTGCTTTCTGATTGGGTATAGGCACTATATTATGGCTTCTTTGTCGGCGTTTGTGGGGGCGCCCTCAGTGCCTTTCTTAGATGATTGCCAGAAGGCGCAGTTGGTCGAAATAGCAGAGCATTATGAAATTTCTGTTGTAGGGAGTAAACTGAAACATGANACATAATCACAGATAAGATGTCAGCCTTCACATCTTCTAAAACTTGACTTGTGTATGTGTACTCGGCTATTTACAGTGTCTGCTTTGATGCATTGCATGAAGTTATCCCTACTAAGGCTGAGCGAAACAACATTTACATATCAAATTGGTTAAATTTGAAATTGCAACTTTGGGGGTCTTAAGATGGCTGATGAGAGCTTTTTTCCACACATTTAATGAAGAACTTACACTGGGGTCTGGGAGTACCTCCATCACTTGGTCCACATTGGCGGTATTTCCATCGTCTCCCGTGCTCGGCCCTCCTTGCATCTCTGCGATGAGAATTTGAAGGGTGGTGGCAGCACCTTCTTACAGTGAAAACAGAGCATTTAATGAAATTTTCTCTTCCTGGACCTCTTTGAAATGCAATTGAATACCCCTGCATTATAGCAACAATAATAATAATAACAATAGCAATAACAATTGGGAGGGGGGGCGCGGTTGTTCTTATGTTCTCTGAGGGGAGGCTCACCTTCCCACACTTTGAAAACCCCTGCCCTAATGGCTTGTTGCGTGGTGATGAGTGAGGTGACAGTACACATGCAGAAGCACACACAGCATATCAGACACTAATGCAGCAACCTCGGTGCTGCCTGTCACATCCACTCTGCATTGCAGCCCGGACACACCGCCGCTACTGCTGCTGCAAGGCCTTTTACAGGTACAAGGAGGGGGATGTAATACGGCTGCCCATGTTGCTGTTGCTGTCTGTGTTGACCTCACATTGCCTCCCTATAAAGCACGGATAGTAACTGGAAATTGGAGTGTGTGGGAGGGAAAGAGAGCACTAAAGTTTTAAGGGAGGATAAAGAGACACAGGAAGTTTCAAAGGGGGACACGAGTTGTTTTCTAATGTTGAAAAGTCACAGGGTTTCCTCGTCAACCAATTCACCATCAATTGAAGTAATGGATGTTATTATATTCTTCATGTATAACCGTGTGTAACCTATATATTTTGTACAAAATCTAAGAAAGGGTTTTTGTTGTTGCAAGTCCAAGTGTCCTGGAAGTTGTAATGTCCTGGACGGATAGGATGGGAGCAATTCCTGTTAATATATCTTTGTTGAGCTGAAATCTACATCCATGACATCTTCAATGTATCCAAATTGGACATCAAAACCAGAGAGATTTGTTGTCGGACTTCAACTTTTGCAGGGCATCCAGGGCAGATTACTCATAGTGGCACAGAATTTCACACTGGTAAAAATGTATTTACCATATGCAACCAGATTGAACAGAATTTCTTTCTGTCTGGACTACAAAGCGAAACTCTCTGAATTGCTTACTGATGGTATCACTCAGTCACCCTAACCTCTGTGTGACATGATGCTAGAGAACACGTGAAGGGAAGGACAACAGAGAAGTTAGAGGGACGAGTTCAGTTATGAGAGGAGTCATGCAGTCATCCAATTCCTATATATTTTGGTCCGGGGACCATCCTGAGCACAGAAATCAATAACCCTGGCTTTCTCCACTAGCGGTCATGTCCTCCCTCATCACCGCAACCATCTCCACTCTATGCTGCCATGCAACCCCTCTAGAACCTTACAGTATAGAGTGGTGAAGGAATAAGTCCTCAAACCCTAAAATATACTGGATTTACACAATATATATGTTTACAGTATTTTGGCGATAGACTCAGTGACTTAACTAGCATGGATGCTTAACTGTAAAAAGCACACCAGCACTTTTATTAGGTTGCTAATTGGAAGCTTGCAAGCACAGGCTTGTGGAGGAAAAGACTGCTCATTTTAGTAAACTTTGACGAAGCTTTTGGATGCCACAATGCTAAAGGGAAATGGCAAAAGAGAAGGAAAGTGTCTTTCCGTTAGTGAGTACTTACAGTATGTGTGTGGGAGTGTACCCACAATATTGAGTATGTAAGTCGCTCTGGATAAAAGCGTCCAACAAGTAACATGTAATGTAATTAGCAAAACCCTTCGGCCAATTTCAGTTTTGCAGCATTAGTTTCAATTAATATTTACTGGAAAATTCCGACGATTGGCCTTTTTTAGGTAATTAATTACCACAGTCAAAGTGATTTTAATACACTAACAAAATATATTTGTCAGTGTGTTGGTCCTGTTTTTGGCACTTCCACTTAGAAACTGAAGCAATGCACTGTGAGGTATTTCTGCTCTAAAAAGCCCAGTCTTCCTCTTTGTTGTCAAAACCTGCTAATGTTAATATCTGGCATTATTGTATCTGGCAGGTTCCACTCCAACGGTTAGAATTTTAGGTGGTGGGGCTGCACTTTTGTTTACATTTAGATCACAAATTGTGCCTTCAATGTGCTCATCCATTTGTTTCAGACCTGTGGCTGTTCTCGGATCACTGTTCACTGAGACATAACACCTTTTGATCCACAGCAACGGTGCTACTGTTCTGCGCTACAGAGTACGGCAGATAACGGGGTGTGTGTGTGTGTGAAGAGGGAAACAGATAGAGGCAAGGTGATCGTGAGACCAAGCGAGGAGATAGCAAAGGCTGCTGTCTATTCTCCTCAGTGTCAAGAGTTCTCCTTCTCTGTCCAGGCTTAGCAACCGCCTAGCATCACCCTATCTGTTTATACAGAGGCTAATAGGAAGCCCAGTCTTTATCCCCACATTGCGGCTCAACATAATGGAATAGAGAGACATAATGCTGCTCGAGTCAAACAGTCAGCGGAGGCCTTTAAATTGCTTCCAATCCCCTTAACAAATCTGATGGAGAGGCTATGAATAACTCAAGGACCGCTCATCTCCCCACGCTCTGCTTCCATCCTCTCCTCTTCTCAGTTTAAACCTGAGTATCAACTTGGATTAACTCACTTTACTTCACTTTTTTAATTAGCACTGTCAGCTTATATAACCAGACTTATCTATTTCAAGTCCTGCTAACATTCCAGTTTGTAGATTCCAAATGGACATCACATTCTTGCAGCAAGTTTTTGGAGAAAGTGTGGATAAAAGATTGTCCCCAGGATTTTTAATTTTCTTCCTGAATGGACACAGAGAACAAATAATTGCCTTTGGTGTCATGCGGTGAGATGTCTTTTTGAAATGGCTTGGGTGTTATGAAGCGCACCCTTCAGGGTCATTTCCCCTTTATATCTTGGTGGAGGTGTGTCTTTCATGCTCTCTTCCCCCTATCATGTCATCTATATTATTTCGCACATTTGTAGCCTGTTGCATCATCAAGATTAACTTCAAACATTAGCCAGAGTTACCCTATACATTAGTTAAAACAGCTGGGATCATGCAGCTTTGTTACAACATAGAGTCAAGATAAGACTTAAATGTGTGTCCACCGCTGAGCAGGTGGAAGTTGTGCCTTATCAACTGTTGTCATGCTGTAACGGTAAGAAAGATTGAATAGACTAATCATGGAATGGGAGGAACATTTTCCTTTATGCGTAGGCTTCATCAAGAGCACAAACAGCAACATTTATGATGACATTGACATGCAGACCAAATACTGTACAGTTAACAACACTAAGATGAGAGCACAAGTGTGATTTTAAGCTGCATTCCCGTTATATTACCACTGGCATCAAACGGTTGTTCACATGTTTTCCGGATACATTTGTTGCTGTTGTTGTGGCCATACTTTTCTTCAATATGTTTTTCAACACATCAAAGTATGCTTTTATGTTTGGAACAAAACAACGACTACACCAGTCTGTTTAAGGCCCCGTCCACACGGAAACGATAACGTTCTCTATCGTATATAGACGGTTCGTCCACACGAGGCCGAAACGGAGCCGCGGATTCGTAGCCCGAATCCGATACACATTGATAACGGCTCCCAAAGTGGGTAGGCCTGAGGACGAAACGCTTGCGGCTCCGTGTGTACGCCCTATACGATCATTTCCTGAAAACGATGACAACATAGCCCCGCCTCTCCCCACCCCTCCTGCTCACCCCCGCGTCATAGCTGATGCGTTTCGCCAACAACAAACAGCTTTCCCTGATAGAAGAGAAAGAAGAGCAGCTCAGGTTGCAGAGGGAGGAAGAGGAGAAGCTAAGAAAGGAAGAGGAGATGCGCTTAGCGGAGGAGGCTCGTCTGATACGCCTGCAGGAGGAGAAGAAAATTAAAGACGAGGAAGATGCTTTTCTAGCAGAGGAGGTGCGGGTGAAAATGGCCGAGAGGATCTGTCGGGAGAGAAAGCGTGTCATGCAGCGACAGCTGGAGGAGATAAGGGCTCATGTAGAGGCCCTGTCAGCCGCTCAGACTCAGGTGGAGAAACAGGTGATGAGGACACTGCAGGCGGAGAAGGCGGCATACGTGGAGAACCTGACGGAGGCCATCGCGAAGGAGCGGGAGAAAGAGTTGAGGAAGAAAGGGAAGCTTCCTTCCGACTTCACGCTCCCCCCTGAGGAAACCATGCGGCACAAGGGGAAGCAGAAACACCGGGCAGAGTGGAGACACATGGAGGAGAGCAAAATGGCCAAGGTCAATAAGTGTCGCAGGAATGAGGTACTGTTCTCTTTCGGGAGAGGAGGGAGGAAATGTGACGAAGATGGCTTCGTCACTGAGGACTGACGGCTTCGGGCTTTGTATATTGCACATGTGTTTCATTT